AATATTCTTGAATAGTTTTTACAAGAAATGAAAAAAGAAAGTGCAAAACTTTGTCAAGTTTTGAAACTGTAATATTGCCTCCCTGAAGGGAAAAAAAAAAAGTTAAACTAAAGAGAAACCACAACTGGAGATAGAGAGCACAGATCAGGTAGAAAAAATAGAGATGAAACCAGCACCTACAACATGACTTTCATGTCTGCAAATGATTCCCTGTGCTGATCAGAAGAATCAGTCCCATGACCCTATGCCAAGAAATTTGGTGTACCCCCTGTACATCATGACACTAAGGAACAATGAAAGGCAGCCATAAAGAAAAAGCCTCTTATCTATAGTACAATACACACTTTACTGCTTTTTAATTACCACAGTACTTCTAAAAATCTCAGTTTTAGCTAGCACTTAGCATGATGTTTTTACTCTGGAACTGCAAACACTAATTTATTTTTAGCTGATAAGTAATAACCATGTTATCTCTAGCTAAATAACAGAAACAAGAACAACAAATATACTTGTGCTAAATAAACAGTACATCTTGCAGTAAATTGATAATAACATGTTCCTTTATAAATACACACCACATACTTTAGACAGTGTTTATGCTACTGATATAGGCCACACCTCTCCTGTCAGATATTTAGTTCAGCTGCTGTAAATAAAGGAAATCAGGTTGCACAATTACAGCTGGTATTTTACTACTGAATACAGAACAAATAAATTTATTTCACATCTGTGTGTAATTATTTTTCTTCCTCTTGAAATGGTAGAAATCTAAATTTTCTATCCACAGCACAAAGTAACCCAACCATTGGTTAATTAAATATTAGCTAGGTTTCTCTTTACAACTATAAACTGCACTGCAGTGAAGAAAGTGACATGCATCTTGAAAGCTATATCGTGATTATTAATGCCAATGTACTAACTGATTCTCCTTAAGACACTGAAAAAGAAAGACATCACTCTGACTACGATGTTTTTTAAACATATCAACACCTTTATATTTAAGAGCTATAAAGACAAGAAGAGAAAGAATGGGAGCTTATAACAGCTCACATTGAATAATTTAATGGTTTTAGTAGATTGCACTCTTACAGTCAGTACTGTCCAGAACATCAGCAGATACAGTCTTTTTTTCCATCTGTATCAGTGGAAATGACATCTGTATTTTTGTTCAGCATACATAAATGAAAGGCTTTAAGCTTCAGCTTTCAAAAGTGACTGCTGGTTTTGAGTGATTCTTCGTGCAGAGGACATGTTAGTGTTCAACTGCCTCTGTTCTATCTCCGTAAAACTGGGGGTGATGGCAATTTATATTTGTATCTAGCAACACATAAGAATCTCCATAAAAATTAGAACCATGCTGTTTGAGGGGCTTTAGAGAATGCTCTGGCAAATATCCTCAGGAGAAAGTTGCTCTTCCTCAAGTGTATACCACTGAAAACAGGTGTTAAGAATACATTTCTTCAGCTGGTTTAAGGAGACCAAGCAGCATAAAGGAGTGAGGTCTGCAGGCAGTCTTTATTGGCTTGGTAGGAAAGTTTACCAGCTCTCTCAGACAGGCTGGGCTCCTCAGAGATTTCATTTTAAATCAAGTAGGAATGAACTCTCTGGTCTCTAAGCACAAGGTCAGCTATGTACAGAGTGAGCTGGGACAGTGTCCTTTGATTTTGTGACACCACCCTGCCCAACTCTGTTCATCAGCAGGCTCATCTCTATCTGTGCTTATGCTCAAAGGCAACAGATCCCCTGCAGTGCCTCTTCTGCAGGCTCTAGTTTCCAGGTGCAATGGCAAGGGCTGTAGTCCCAGCTGCATTGATGATCAAGGGCTGAGCTGTGTCCCTGTGTCCAATGCTACCTGGCAGGTTTACTGCAGCTGTCACACAGCAAAGTTCTGTGCACAGCCTGTCCACTTCAGCCTCAAGACATAAGAGCAACGCATGTTGAAAGTGGTCAGTTCCCGCTGCTTTGTCATGTGCTGCAGTAGTCAAGGTAGGCAGTCTGTTCACATCAATACTGCTGAGGGGCCGCAGAGCAGTGCTGCACAGCCCATGTTTGGTTCACAGGCTGCTAGTTGAAGAAATCTGTCTGACAGCATAATATATAGGCAGCTGTTAATGAACAAAGAAGCCTGATCACAACAACAATGGGGAATTAATTCTGCCCAAATTCTTATCTAGCTGAATGCAAGTTTCACAATTTTCAGAAATTACCAATTTGAGCTCATTGCCTTTTAAATCAAAGTCATTGAGAGGGGTACTGGACTGCAAGATTAGGCCTTGAAGAGTGTCACGGAATCGCACCAAAATGGCTACACGCACACAACTAATGAACTCAAACAAGCTTTAATCTGCAACTGAAATGAAGCAGACAAAACTTCATTCACCAAAACAACATTCCACTGACATTCAACAAATACAGGTTCGATATGCTGGTTGGGAATATTACCAGACACAGCTGAGTTAAGAATTCTTAAGTTTTTGGCCAAACGATCCAAAATGTGCTCTCAGTCACTCACTCACCAAAAAAGGGAGGGCTCTCAATCTCAAGTTACCTTAAGTGGCGTCCCAACTCAAGGGGAGAGTCCCCGACTGCAGACCCGCTGCTCCGAGGAGGACCGACTCCAATGAGTCCTCTGACGGGGCCCCGTTTATACCCTGGTCGAATCTGATCTGTGGTCAATACATGGTCGTGTCACCCCCTATTGGCTGAGGACCCCAACTTTCCTGCCTTTGACCCCCACTGTGTGGACCAGACATGAGCTGTGGGGGAGGGGGGGCAGTCCTGGCACCACCAGGGCCAGAAACTTTAGCACTGCTGTGTTGGGTCTTTCTCAGGTCTTTAGTAGGGTGGGTGCATCTGCCACACACAGCCAAATGCAAATACACAAGAAGTCCTTTTGCTAACATTCAATGCTGACATGATTCAGTGAATCATTACTGTTATGAACACAGTTAACCTGGCAAAGCCACAAGCTGGATCCACATCATGAAGTAAACATTCATTACTGAAACAACCTGACTATACTAGTGGCTGGACAGTTTCACCTGTGTGTATGTACTGGAAACTTGTAAGAGTTACCTGCCAGGGATCACTTTCCTTTCATGTTGTTACTTATGATGCAGAGCTGACTGGTCTTTGCTGTTGACATGTCACAAAATACCTTACAAGCACAGAAAGTCTTTTTTAGCAAGTTTTAAAACAGAGTTGGGAGGTATCCCAACTGGAGTGCCAACTATGTTGTATCATCCTGTGGTCATTAGTTACACAGAGCTAATTTGACTTTTTAGACATTGTGAAATTAAAGATAATTTCTTTCACCAAGTATTGTAAGAGAAATGGCAGTAACATACTCCCTTCTAGCAAAGGTCTTGAGCAGAGCAGCTCAGAGCAATAACAGAATCACAGAATCACAGAACATTAGGGATTGGAAGGGACCTCAAAAGATCATCTAGTCCAATCCCCCTGCCAGAGCAGGAACACCTAGATGAAGTTGCACAGGAAGGCATCCAGGCGGGTTTTGAATGTCTCCAGAGAAGGAGACTTCACAACCTCTCTGGGCAGCCTGTTCCAGTGCTCTGTCACCCTCACTGAGAAGAACTTTCTTCTCAAATTTAAGTGGAACCTCCTGTGTTCCAGTTTGTGTCTGTTACCCCTTGTCTTATCATTGTTTGTCACCGAGAAGAGCCTGGCTCCATCCTTGTGACACTCACCCTTTAAATATTTATAAACATGAATGAGGTCTCCCCTCAGTCTCCTCTTCTGCAAACTAGCGGCTTTCAGGCTGAACAGGAGTCAATAAAATTGTGCTGTTGCAAAAAGCACAAACACAATGCCAGCATGTTTAAGTGGATGCGCAGACCCAAGATGTGAAGAAAACCTAACACTTAGCTAAAATACTGTGTCAAGTTTTAGCCACTGAACTTCAGGAATGACAGAGGCCATCTAGAAAGTCCTGAGGAAATAACAAAGTATGTATCCTAGAAATTATAGAAAACATGACCTACGAGAATAAATAATTGTAACAAAGGGTTTATTTAGTCTAGAAAACAGAAGTTTGAGGGTAACATAAGCAACTGTCTGTGTATAGTTGAAAAGTCGATGTAGTAAGGGGATTAACTTGTTCTATGTGCTCACTCACACTGGTATCGTAAAAGCAATTGGCTTAACCCAAAACACAAGGGATGTAAGCTGGAATAACATAAACATCATAGGCACTAGGACAGTTTGTCAGCAGAGGCTCTGGAACTGACATCATGAGATAGCTTCATAAAGAGTAAGTATTCTCTCTGATCCTTCTTTTTCCCTGCCCACTAAAGAAAGTGCTCTCCTCCTCAGAAGCTTAATGTTACAACCCAAGAGACTAAGAGACTCTTCAACTGTCTAGCGTTTTATCTTAAGAGCCGAGGCATTCACTCGTTTCTGAATGCATTCGACAGACTCGCAGGAGTATCTGCACTGCTCAGCATCCCCTGCTATCCACCTGCCGAAGCCCATGAAGTTCCGCTTTCACTTCAGTAAGGAAACAGGATCTGTTTTCTCTGATACTCTAGCTAGTTCCTCGAAAACAGAGTTTTCTAGCTTGCTGACAGCCCTCCGAAATGCTGTGGAACTCTGCAAAGTGAACCCTGACCTCGAGACCGTGTAATAACGCCACAGATCCTGTTTGCAAGCAACTTCTCGGAGGCTCCGTTTGATTTTGTTCTGTTTTCCAGGCACCAACTGCGTTCCGGCTTCCACCGGTGCACCGCGATTTTGGCAGGGGACTTCTCTCCCTTTTTCTCCACAGGCCTTGAACTCACCACCTCCCCCTCAAGCGGGAGGCGCTACCGAAGGTGGGGGCGGTCTCCTCCAGGAACGAGAAGGACCTAGTCCCACCGCTTCCTCGTAGTCACGCAACCCCCGCGCTTTCCTCTCCGGCTCCGCCTTTTCCTTCCTCCTCCTTCTCTGGCCGGGCGGAGGCGGCGGAGCCGGAGCGGGCTATGGCGGTGCTGCCGGCACCCTTCGTCAGGCAGCAGGTCCGCTAAGCGCCGGACGGAGGCCAGCGGCCGGAGCCAGGGATGCTGCGGGAGGCCGCCCGCTGCTTGGTGGTGGACGCGAACGGCAGGAGCGTACCCCTCAAGAACCTGTACGGGGAGCAAAAAGCGATCGTGGTGTTCGTGCGGGTGAGGAGGGAGCATCTGCCCGGTGGGGTCGGCCCGGCGGCCTGGAGCTCAGGCCGGCTCCTAGCGGGAGCGCCCAGTTTGGCCGTGAAAGGGTGGGGGGAGAGCATTTGCACAAGTTGGACTGGGACAGAGAGGAAAGAAAATATAAAGCAAATCAGTTCTGTTTCTAAGAAACCCTGATTCTTTGATAAAAGAATACAGTATTTAGCTGAAAGGAAATAATTCTTGAATTGTGTGTTTGAGGAAGCGAGGGCTGTGCTCCCTGCTTTCCCAGCTGGCAAGCCAGCTCTTACATTCCTGAATTATCCAGAGATAAAAATGTTAGCAAGGCCCCAAGCCCAGTGTCCTGGTTCAGGCTTCGATTAAAGCAGGATCATAATCCAAATTTGGTGACAGCAGAGGATGTGTTTCCTGTTCCCGGTTCCTGATCACCTCCAAAATGGTCTGTGCCCAAAGTCAGAATCTGATGCTTTCACTGCTGTGCAATTATGTCAGTTTCTGACATGTCCAACTGGCTGTGTTGCAGAATTTTTTATGTTACACCTGTAAGGAGTATGTAGAAGACCTGGCAAAAGTCCCCAAGGCGTTTCTACAAGTAAGTACTCTGCCTTTAATATGTGCACAGAGTTGCTGTAGTCGAGTAGATTTGTTATGTTCCACTGCAGGCTTGTGAGTGGCTTAAACCTTCTAGGAATCAAAAAAAGGCTCAGAAGGAAGTTAGCATTTTCGTTGTTTGCTATGATAGCCATAATGTGTATGCCTAGGAGACACAGGGAAGGATTGATTGCCCTGTGTGCTCTGTTGCAGCAGCATTATTTCTCCTTGCCCTGTCAGCTTGGTGCTGCTTTTTGTGCTGTGTTCTGAACAGTAAGATAACATCTGGTAGGCATTTATTTTGGTATTGGTAGTGCCCTGGGCAGCTGTCTTTGCCTGACCACTAACTACTGCCCTTTTCACTGTGCTGGTACAGCTGACTGATGGTTGTGCATGGAACAAGATTAGAAAATTGTTTTGGATTAAAAGTAGTGTATTTTTCTATGGTTATTTGTAAGCTGCATCAGTTGTGTGACCTGATACTGTTCTCCAGGCAGCTGCACAAACTGGAGTCACATAGTGATAGAAAGGAGAAATGGAGTGGGCAGGGGTTGCTATGGATGGGTATTTGTTGGGTGGTAGGAGATACCAGAGAAAGACAATGATCCCATGCTAAATGTGGAAGGTCATTCTGTCTCTTCTAGGCTGCTGATTGAAATTTTGTCATTTTATTCTCAACAGCAACATAGCTGATGACAGAGAGTTGGCTCCTTGCTGACTGCAAGCTTTAGATGGACTAGGAACCTGGGGATGAAAAGAGGCAATTTCTCTGGCAGCTCCCCAGCTCAGGACAGATTTTTCTAAACTGCTCAATCAGTGTTACTCAAAATAACATTTTCTTAATTTGGCTGCTGAAATATATGTATACAGAAAAGCAAAATCGTCCATGCATTTCTTAGTGTGAGTGTTGTTTTAGGAGGGCTTCTTTTCGTAACAAGCAAAACTATTCTATATAGGAAAGGCAAGTATTACACCCTAGTATTTAAAAAATCTTATCTTTTATTAAGTGTTTTACTGGCATCTAAATGAACTTGAGTTCTGACCTCTATTTTAGACTCACACCTAATGTTGCACCTGCAAAAGACAGCAGTAGATGCAGATGCAAGTTCTGTCTATTAATGAGTGTCCATATATATATGTAAGTCAGAGACCAAAGGGTGCACCAATATTTGCATGCTGCTTCTTTAGATGCAGGTGTAACTAAGTGAAAATTTTGAATTTCCAAAATCATAGCAGATTGCTATCAATTGAAATGGTGACTCTACTAATACTAGAGAAAAATTAAAGTTTACACATCTATAACTTAAAGTTTGTCTTTAAAAATAATTTTTCCCTTAATAAATTAATGTAACTGCCAACTGTGGGTGATACACAAAGCTGCAGGCTCCAATCATGTAAGTGATGTTAATTTCAAATAATTTTAACTCAGTGCACTGTGATCATTAACGCAGGACACCATATTCAGCTAATGCTTTGCAACCATGCATAACCAAGTTCCTCTTTACAGTTTTAATACCCATGTTCTGTTCTAGGAGGCAAATGTGAGGCTTATAGTTATTGGACAGTCATCTTATCATCACATCAAGGTAAATAAGTTATTATCTACTTTGTATCCTATATTTTGTCTTAATGGTCTCACGAGGAATTTCAGTGAAAAGATGGTCATTTGCAACTACTAAAAGAAGAGGACTGAATATTATTTTTCATGAAGCAATTCTAATAGTAATATGTGAATAAAGCAAATAACTGAAATTTTCAGTTTAAAAACCACTGGGGCTCGCTAAGGAGACATCTTTTCTTGATGTCTTGATTACTAAAAGCTTGGGGGTTAAAACTTTTTGGCCTTTAATTTAACATGACAGATCTACACATTTCTAAATTGGGGGTGGAGAGGGTGTGTGGGGTTGTCAGTATTTTTTCCACTGCTGGTGGATCCTAAGTAAGTACTGTCCTAACCTTAAAAATATAACCTTTTTAATATGCCTATGTTTTGCAGCCCTTTTGCAGTTTAACTGGGTATACACATGAAATGTATGTAGATCCGCAAAGGGAAATTTATAAAACACTTGGCATGAAAAGAGGTGAATGTACTAATGTATCAGGTAAGAGTAATTTTCTCACCTTGCTTGGACTTACACACAAGAAAACGAGAATGCTCTGTTAGAACACTATGATCATACCGTATATAGGAAGTGAGTTGCCCACCAGCCTCTCTCTTTTAGAGTATATGTTGTCAAAACACTGGTAATCAGAAAACTCTCTTCATAGCAGCAACAAGTACTTTGCCATTTTTTTAGTGCAGAGCCCTCATGTGAAATCAAACACGCTCCTGGGAAGCATTAGGAGTATGTGGAGAGCAATGACTGGCCCGGCTTTTGATTTTCAAGGAGACCCCGCTCAGCAGGGAGGAGCTTTGATTTTAGGCCCAGGTAAACTTCTTTGTTTTCTTTGTAAGTTACAATCTTCTCCTTCAGCTGTTTGCTTTAACCCTCGGCTGCTGTCCTTGTGGATCCCAAGGAGGCAGTCTTGTGCTGAAGTGTGTGCTCTTGCTAGCTGAAGGAACTTGTGGAAGGGTCATTGTGTAGTCCCACCTCCCACAGAGGTCGCACACAGCTGATCACAGTCCTGCAGAAATCGATAGGAGTGCTGGTGGAACAACTGCCTAAAAAGAATGGAGGGGGTTTTTTGACATTGTGGTGTTTACTTACATTCTGCTTTCACATTTGAGTCTAGACATTTAATGCTGGTTTAGTAGAGGAATAATGCACGAAGGGAGAAGGGCTGTAACATGACAAAGTCATGTCATCAAATCATTAGGAAACATCATGCTACAGCAGATTTAATTCAGTTAGATGTTTCAATGTTCCTTGCTTCTGTAACTTAATTTTTAAAAATCTTTGTCATTGTTTAAAAGACAGTATATTGTGCAATCTAATGAGCTAGTATACATTTGTACAAGAACTAATAGGAAATCAGAATGCTTCTTTGATCCACTTACGTCTTTGAATGAATAAATATTTTACTCAACTATTTATATGTTGTTCTCATTCCATTCCAGGCAATGAAGTTCATTTTTTGCACCTTGATAAAAACAGGCTGGATCATGTTCCCATTAACACAATTTTGCAGCTGGCAGGAGTTAAAACAGTAAATTTCACAAACAAACCCCAGATTATTGACATATGACAATGACACAATATATAAATCCTGGCACTGAAGATGGACACAAAACTGCTATTTCCATTGTATGTAAGATAACAAAAGCCAAAACACAAGTGAGACTTATTGTAAAAAATCCTGTACCTTTTTACTTCCTCATCAGTGTTGCTAATATATTTTTAAAATCTTTGTTCAAGACACATTAAACTAAAAAAATCTGGTTTTGCTCAGGAAGAACTTTGGATTCTTCAGGAGATCACACTGGCTTTCAATCCAGTACTCCTCAGCGATATTTTAAAGCTTTCAGCACCGTGTGACAATCTTGTACTAAAATATACCTTGAAAAATCACAGTTTCAAACACTGGGACTTAAGCTTATGCCTACTTTTGTATCTGACACTGGCAGACATTATGACATACATTTTACAGTTTTAAATAAATACTTTAAATACATCATCCATTGTCTGCAATTCTTTGTCATATCAAAATTTGGGTCTGTAAGACCAGGGGGAGGTGTGTCTTAAACCTATTTCTGATCTGATTGTCATTTTTGGAGTAGGCCATAGTCAGTGACTTGATTTCCTATGAAGATTTGCAGCAGAATATTCTCCTTTGTATGTATGTACTTTCTCTCAGAGGAAGAAGTCTCTGGAAAAAAAGACTGTGGTTGTTTCTGTCCTAGACAGCTCAGCTGCTAAGGACAATAGCATTTATGTTTGCAGTTCTGTCAGATTTCATAGTGTCCGTTCTAGAAATGTTTATGTTCAGAATCTATTGCATTCATTAGAGTCAATGTGCCCTCTTTCATCCACGAGCCACTTTTTAGCAATTTTAAAATAAGATTGTCTGAGTTTTATGGAGGAGCATATCCTCCTCTGCTACTATTCATACATATCTCACCTGCAAATTCTCTTCCCTTGTAAGCTTTTAACACTAATGCAATTATAAAACAGTGTTCTGTGAAGAGGTATGTCTCTGCATCCGTTAAGGTCACTGGCAGGCCAAGAGCAAGCTCCAGAGAGCTCTACACCATTAAGAGCATGTTAAATTAAATATACTGTTCCTTGACAAAGACAAGACCAGACCTGCTTAAGAAACATCATGATACTGAGCAATGAAATTCCATTAAAGGTACTATGCCTCAGTACCTTATTAATTACATACACATTTTGATATGGTGTGTTTAGAAGAAGGTTATTATTAACGTAAAAATACCACGTTCAGTTCCCTGCTTTGGCTGAACTGTGCTCGGCACAGGGCTATGGCAGTCATGTGGAGGCTCTGAATGCATGTGATTTTAAGGCTGGCCAGAAGCTTCCTCAGAACTTGCCATAACAGACTGGGACAGCAGCTGAGGCTCACAAGGGAGTAAAGTCCACTTTTCATGAACCGCTGCCCTTATGTTCATAAATCAGGAGCTGTCCCCTCCCTCCAGGGCTCCCCAGCTCACTAATTGATTGATTTTTGTGTATGTCAGAAATGCTGGAATGCAGCAGCCTCCAAGTTGCTTAAATCACAGCAGAAAGCATGCTAGAAAACTGGTCTTATGTTTGTAAAACAACAACGAGAAACACATTAAAAATATTTTAAAAAGAGAAAGAATGATAAATATCCAGTCTATTTGTAGTGTCTCCACTCTGCTTCATTCACCTGATCATCACTGCCAAGGATGCTGACTAGTGCCACTTTAGTTTTGCAGTCATTTAGCTTTCATGTTCTTGGTTCTTTTGATTTTAAAGGAAGTGTTTGGCTAGCTGTTTTTCTGTTTGTTGTTCTTTCATTAGAATTAAAATAATATACAATGGGAATATTTCTATTGCCGCTAATGAAATAAATAAAACTAACTAAGGCTAAAACCACTGTGGACTGTCAAAAGGGATTGGAATTAATTAAGTTGTAGTTTGACCCCTCTGTATATGGGAGTCGTCCGCCCTCACCATTGCAATACTGACAGGAACCATACCACTGTCTCAGTGTTATCCCAGCAAAAGCACTTCTTCTGAAAGATTCACAAAGTGCAGACAAGCAAAAAGAAGGAAGATGACAGAGAGCAGGATTCAGTAGCAGAGCAATCTTAATCAGAGTATCGCGCCTGCATTTTGCAGCTGGCCACAACTTCACTGAATTCACTGGCACCCTGCAAGACAAGGATTCCTATCTGCATAATGAACTGAAACGAC